GTATTGGCGACGGATTTGATCCGTCGCTAATGTTTTTCCGTCGCCAATAAGTATTGGCGACGAAAAAACATTAGCGACAGATCAATTCCGTCGCCAATAAGTATTGGAGACGGATAACATCCGTCGCCAATAACTATTGGCGACGGATTAGATCCGTCGCCAATGTTCCGTCGCCAATAAGTATTGGCGATGAATCGAATCCATCGCCAATACTTATTGGCGACGGATTCAAATCCGACGCTAATACTTATTGGCGACGGATTCGATCCGTCGCCAATGTTCCATCGCCAATACGTATTGGTGACGAATTAGATCCGTCGCCAATACTTATTGGCGACGAATTCGGCCCGTCGCCAATACTCCGTCGCCAATAAGTAATGGCGACGGATTAGATCCGTCGCCAATACATATTGGCGACGGATTCAAATCCGTCGCCAATACTTATTAGAGACGGATTCGATCCGTCGCATCCGTCGCCTATGTTCCGTCGCCAATATTTATTGGTGACGGATTAGATCCGTCACCATTACTTATTGGCGACGGATCTAATCCGTCGCCAATACGTGTTGGCGACGGATCTAATCCGTCGCCAATGTTCCGTCGCCAATACTTATTGGTGACGGATTCGAATACGTCGCTAATACTTATTGGCGACGTATTCGAATCCGTCGCCAATACTTATTGGTGATCCGTCATCAATGCTAATGTGTCCATCATAAAAAATTAACATTAGTGGTTGATTATCTCATTGTTAATGAGTAGCCCAATAAAAAATTAAGAATTATTTTAATATTAGTCCCTCAAATCTATAATATTTTAAATGTAGTCCAATACTATTTTGTTCCACGTAGGTAGATGATAGCTTGAGAGCTGAGGACGTGGAAGTCTACTATGATCCAGGACAGTTGTTTGGTGGCCTTCTCAAGGGCCCCCTGCTCCCCTCTAGCGTCGCCGTCGAGGAGGCTGTAGTCACAACTTTGTCACTGGAGGCATGTCTCTTCTTCAGAGAGAAGTGATGTATGCTTCCTGAATTTGAATTTGCTTGGAGAACGAATCTAGTAGTTTTCTCGTTAATAAATGAATGGATGTTTGATGCAAGTTTCCGATATGAATAAATAAGGGCTAAATTTCACAAACTACTCCTTCACTTGGGCCGTTTCTGTCATAACCCTGTGAACTATTTTTAATGCTATGAAAGCTTTCTTAACTTGACATCTCGGATTCTCTACAATCTTGATTGTAAAGAATGCATACAATTAGTTAGGTGTGCTACTACTATTGGCTAATCTCAGTGAATCCACAACTAAAGGTATTTCATATTATTTAGATAGTTAATATCAAAATTTATTTAAAGTAAAAATGATGAGAAAATGGTGAGATACCAATGAGAATATCATTTTCAGTTATACGTGGTACAAACATGTAACCATATTGATATTGCTATTGATATACCAGAACTTATCATAGCCCTTTTTAACTAATTAGGAATTATATATGTTAATTTTAAAATTTATTTATTTTTATTCTTTATGCTAGTAGATTAGATGACCTCTACTACTATTGGCTTCGTTTACATATGAACTTGAGCCTGTAAACATCATTAATGAATTTGAGAAGAGCTAAATTAGATTTAATCACTAAAAACCAGATGAAAATAGTTTGGATAGAGTTCTCTTGGAGTTTTTATAAGGTTAAGAGGAGAAAGAGCCGTCGAAATTGAGTTCGAGCGAATATGATATATGTTAGAGAATTTTTTTTTAATGAATATGGGTTTCCACGTTTAAAAGTTAAGAGAAACTGATAATAATAGTTAGATTTAAAGGAATATTTCTTTAAATTTAACCGGTTTTAACTAATTGTAAATATTGTGATGATTTGAGGGATGTAATAGAAATTTTCATGATTTGAGTGAGTAATTTGTAAAAGTGCCTTTTTTAAAAAAAATTCTCCATTTTTAAAGTGCTGCCTAAATGAGAAGTAAGTTATCTTGTATCCGAGAAATTCTTGCCTTTTATAAATCTAACTAGCGTTGACCAGGGGACCTAATAGTATATATTGTGATGATTTGAGGGATGTAATAAAAATTTCCACGACTTGAGTGAGTAATTTTGAAATATTGAAGATTTGAGGGACCGATTTGGAAATATTGAAGATTTGAGTGTTACTATTGAAATGTTCCGTCGCCAATAAGTATTGGCGATGAATCGAATCCATCGCCAATACTTATTGGCGACGGATTCAAATCTGACGCTAATACTTATTGGCGACGGATTTTATCCGTCGCTAATGTTCCGTCGCCAATACGTATTGATGATGAATTAGATCCGTCGTCAATACTTATTGGCGACAAAAAATGTGTTATTGGTTTAACAGAAGATGGTTATGAAAAGGGCATAAATTTAGGGGTAAAAAATGGGCAAATAAGTTTGATGGCCAAGAAGAGAAAAGAGGGGAGCTTCGTGAAATGTCTGGAGATGAGATTGTAAACTTGTTTGAGGGATATCCTAAATTCAATTTTGGAAAGAGCCGATTTACAAAAGATGAAATTCTCGCTCCGAGACACACTTCCATCATGAAGAGGGCACCCAAACGAAAGAGGCAAGTGCGGGGTTTAGATGTCACACATGCTCAGGATTTGCCGACAGGATGGACAAAATTTAGTATATTCTTTCAGTTGCCTTACTGGCATAAACTCAAACTCCGACATAATTTAGATGTAATGCATATTGAAAAGAATATATGTGATAACTTATTATCCACACTCCTTCAAGATGGTAAGAAATCAAAGGACGATTTAAGGGCTCGGCAAGATTTGAATGCATTGAACATCCGACATGATCTGCAAGCACAAGAAGTAGCCAATGGAAAATTTGATTTGCCTTCAGCTCGTATTACAATGTCAAAAGCTGAGATGCAGAGATTCTGTGAGGTTCTTAAGTCGGTGAAGTCACCAGATGATTATTGCTCTAATATTTCAAATAATATACAGGTGAAAGAGCGAAAACTTTTAGGACTTAAGACACATGATTATCATATTCTTCTTCACCAATTGCTTCCGGTAGCACTTCGTAACAACATGGCCGATGAAGAAGTAACAAAAGTTATAATTGAATTCTGTGGATTTTTTAAAAAGTTATGCTCCAAAGTGATCAATATTGATGAATTTAAGGCACTAAAAGCAGAAATGAATGAAACCCTCTGCAAAATGGAGATATTCTTCCCTCCATCATTTTTTACGATCATGGTCCATCTCACACATCATCTTGTAGATGAGGCATTACTCGGAGGACCAGTTAACTATCGTTGGATGTATCCCATAGAGAGGTTAGTTAAAATTCAATTAAGTCTATTTACATAACATGTCATTGCTTTAAATTAACAACTCATATTAATGTTATTTTTAGATATTTGGGTTTCTTGAAACGCATAATGCGAAATCGGGCTCATCCTGAAGGTTCGATTGCTGATCATTACGTGGCAAATGAATGTATGATGTTTACCTCTCGGTGTATACAAGGTGTACATACAACAAATAATTCTCTAAATAGTAATAGAGATGGCACCTTTCATGGAAGTACCAAGATGAACAAAGACTATTCCAGAATAGACTTGAATCAGGCTCATGCCTTCTTATTGCAGAACCTAGAAATTTTTGAAGATTACCGCAAGTAAGAAATTAACTTTATTAAATATGATTTTTTTGAATTATTTCAATAGTTGAACTCTAATTTTTGTATCAATAGACGACATGTGGAGGAGTTGCATTTAGAAATAACTGGCGCGTCAGCACGAAATCAAATTGCAAAAATTCATGAAAAACATTTTGCCGAGTGGGTCATAGCTGAAGTAAGTTAAGTGGATTTTATTTTTAATTAATTTTGGGAATAAATAAGGCTAACTATTTAACGCTAATTTGTGTTTATATGCAACATTAGGTAGAAAGACAAAGATTTGCAGGTTTGCCAGTGCCAGAAGAGATAAGTATTCTCTCACATGGACAGCACTATACAGTTAAACAATGCAGCGGATACCGTGTAAATGGATGTTTATTCCAACGGGTCGGGCTTGAGGGGGAGAGAGTTACCCAAAATAGTGGGGTCATGGCTGTATTCTCTCAAGAATGTTATTCAAGCTCAACTGATCAAAATCCGGTACTTGGTGATGTAGTTTATTACGGACAATTAGAAGATATTGTGGAGATATTCTATGCGTACGGTACCAAAAATGTACGTAGTTATGTGATGTTTAAGGTCCGTTGGTGTCGTGCAGACAGAACTAGGGATGCATATGGTTTTCATCTTGTAAATTTAGATAAGGAGATATATCCCGACATGAAGTTTATGTTCGCAAATCAGGCTACTCAGTGCTTTTACGTCAAAGATCCTAAGGTGCAGAATGTCTGGGTCATATTGTATAAGGAGCCGAGGACTCTTGTTCAGCTTGCTCTTGATGAAAATCCGGACAGTTCCGATGACCCTAATGAGACGGAAGGAGAAATTTTTATTAATTACTCATACCCCCAAAATGTCAATTTTAATATGTATACCTCGCAAATTCGACTTGATATCTGTAATGTAGGAGATTGAATACTAAGATCCTTATGCAAATTCGATTTGATATTTGTAATGTAGGAGTTTGAATAAAAAGATCCTTATGCAAATTCGACTTTATATCTTGCATGTATTTATTAAATATTTAAGTTGTAGATGAGCCAAAGAATTAGGAGGCTATCTTTTCCTCGGGATCAAGAAGGTCCATCATCCGGTATAAGTATTCAAATTTTGTTGAAGTAAATAGTATTAGTGATATAAATATGCATGATATTTACTATTTTTTTATTTATCTAGGATCATCATCAAGACCATCTCCGAGTCCATTATCTCTACATGGATCCTCACCCATTGAAGGTATAAATTTATTTATTTGTATTATGTCAATTGTTAAATTTATATGCTCATATAATATATATTTCTTTGTTAGATATTGCGGGGACTTCTCAAATGGATCCACCGCAGCATCGAGACGCATTGCCAGATCTAGGTATTATTTTTATTATTTCTTTCATTATATTCTTAATTTACATTTGTAATGTAATGATGTTTAATATTCCTAATATATGTTTGCAGACAATGCTCGTGATGGATTTGGTGATGACGAGATTGAGCACGAGATGATGTCTGGATCTTCTCAGTCAGAGAGAGCATGTCTCCGCCCTTGGACTCCATCAGTATATCACATCCCTCTACCTGAAAAAGCTATTGCATTACAAAAAAAATGCGATAGGAACTTCAAAATTAGGAGAGATTATATTAAAAGAAAGGAGCGTGCCATAAAACAAAGACTAGATAAAGCTATGGCTGATCTAATGAGGGAAAGGGGTAATAATTTCGTATAAACTTTAGAGATTGCTTACTTATTTATTTATGTAAGTTTATAAGAAATTTATTTCTCTTTGTATTTGTAGGCAAAAAAGATTAAGAGAAACCCGGTAGACATGGGAGTGAGGAAAAGACGAAAGTACCTCCGAAAGGGTACCGGGCCATTTTGGAGTGGAAGGGCAACATTCCTGTTGGGGATTGGGCCGTCAGATTTAATAACCTGATAGGTTGTTTAATAAGAGATCCATGCTCAATTAACATTGCTCATAACTTTGAGGAGCAAGAATTTAAAGGCATAAAGGAGATTTGGGTGAAGCTCATGGTAATTATCTATTATACTGCTTATTTTGTTTACAATTCACAATGATTATTCTTATAGTGTAATTTTTTTGCCATGTAACTTGCAGGATCATTATTGTCTTGAGGACAACCCAGAGTCTTGGGATTATGTTATCCCTAAAATGGCCAAGCTTATTCGGGGTTGGAAGAGTGCTCTAAAAAATAGATATTTTACAAAAATATCTACTGATTGGAAGAGGATCTATGAGCTTGATAAGAGAGTTTATCCATTTAATTGGATGACTCTCATTATCGAGTGGGAGGGTGAGAAGAAGGTGGATTATTTTTAATTTAAGATATTATCATGACATTATTTTTTATTTATATATAATCATCGCACATACTAATAAAGTACTTTATTTTGTAGAAAATATGTGAGACAGCATCGGTGAATCGCAAAATGAAGATATACGATCACTTCTTAGGATCTACTCCTTATGCTCGGATCGAGCATAAGTATTTGAGTGAAAACCCGGTATGATCATATTATTAAAACTGATATCATGTGATTAGTTTTATACATTTACTACTCCTGTAGAGCCTAACCGCATGACCAGAGACGAGTGGATGGAAGTCGTCGACGGAGCTTACGGTTTACAACCAAGAAAGAAAGGAAGAGTTCCTTTGTCAAGTGTTGTAGCTAAGAAATTCACCACCACCAATAAGCCTAGCAGCCAATCAGTGATCTCGACGCGACCATGTGACACATCATACGTCGTGGGTAAGATTGGTCAATACTTGTTGAAGAATGTTGAAGCCTCTTTGGTTTTAAGCTTTCTTCCCACTATTAAACACGAGTTAGGCGGTGCACAAACGACCTGGGATGTCGTTCAGCGACTCATCGATTCTCAACCCTTAAAGGACTTGCTTCCGCAGCCTATATACATGGATATCATGAGGATGGCATTTAATGAGCATGCAGCTATAAGTGATGGAGAGGTATGTATGTCATATTATATATGCAGTTATTATGAATATTTGGAATATATTCTCATATTGATTTACATTCTTTTCAGGCTAGAGGAGGTACTGTAGGAAGCAGCAGTACGATACGACATTTTGATGCAGCTGCTGCCGACGATAGGGATCACGACGATAGGGACCAAGATGACTACGATGAATGAGTACTGAGTTAGACTTTTTTGTTACTTTTATCGACTTTTGGATTGTGTTGAGCATATAATGACCTCCGGATTATATATATACGTGAAGTTATACTTTTTTGTTACTTTTGTCGATTTTTTGTTACTTTTGTTACTTTTGTCGATTTTTTGATTGTGTTGAGCATATATAGTGTGTGTGTGTGTGAATCGATGAATGATGAATGTGATTATTGTTGGATGTGAATTGATGGATGTGAATACTGTTGGATGTGAATTGATGAATGTGAATACTATTGGATGTGAATTGATGAATGTGAATATTGTTAGATGTGAATCGATGAATGTGAATATTGTTGAATATTTTATGAATATTGGAAGCAACAGGTATATATTCCCAAATGGGGCTCAAAAAGTAGCAATTTTTTTTCTCGAATTACATTCATTAGCGACGAAAAGGTCTGTCGCTAATGAACATCGGCGACGGGGAAATCAGTCGCCAACGTACATTTATCGCCGTCGCCAATAAACATTGGCGACAGGGTGCTTTCCGTCACCAATAATCATTGGCGATGAGTTCAACCCCGTTGTCAATACACATTAGTGACGGGGTGTTTTCCATCGCCAATGTGTTTTGGCGATGGCTAGATTTTCGTCGCCAATAAACATTAGCGACGGGGTGCATTTTGTCGCCAATAAACATTGGCGACGGACAACACGCCGTCACCAATGTGTTTTGGCGACGGCAAACTCGTAGTCGCCAAAACACATTGGCGACAGAAAGCACCCCGTCGCCGATGTGTGTTGACGACGATAATCTTGTCTTGTCGTCGCCAAAACACATTGGCGACGGAAAGCACCCCGTCGCCAATGTGTATTGACGACGGTGGTAAACCCGTCGCCAATGTTTCCCGTCACCAATACCTCTCCGTCGCCAATGTACATTGGCGACGGATGACCCCGTCGCCAATGTGCATTGGCGAGGGGATTATTGGTGACGGGCAAGTGGGCGTCACGAATGTGCATTCGTGACGGATTTGACTGCATTGGCGACGGATTTCCCCGTCGCCAATACTCTGTTTTCTACGCTCATATATAAATAATAGGTTTTGTTTTGAAATTTATTTAAACATAAGTTATACATAGTAGACATTTGTATTTTGTTAGTTGAATTTACATTTCGGAAGAAATATTTATATTTTAGACTAAACACGTACTGTACAATATCACCAAAATGTTACTATGAACAATAAGTTAGTTTCTAGAAAAGCCCCTAACTTTGCAAGTGTTGGAAATCACCAAGATGAACTATTTTAACTCGATTAAACCCTTCAAATTTCGGGCTCTACCAGATGACCTTCCTAAATTATTTCACAATATGACAAAAATAACCCTAAATCATAACAGAGTCACCCTCTCAGATTTATTATTATTTTGGTTAAAACCTTCTTCCCTGCTTTTCTCCCTCTTCTTCTTCTTCTATTAGCATCTAGTTCTAGGTCCAAGCTCTTGATGCCTTCAACATGATTAGTTTATCAATTATGAAAGAGTTAAAATACTGGATTGTTCTAAAAAGTGACACTCATTTCTCACTTTGGCCTAACAAGTGAGACCGGTGAGACTTCAATTTAAAAAGTGACAAATAAGCGAAACATAGGCCTTACCTATAGTTGGAAACCATTTTTAACTGAAATATTAAGTAATTTTTGTATACAGACCCCTCAAATCTCCCATATTTCGCATTTGCCCCATCCCCTTTTCCTCTTTCTCCAACCTTACCTCTTTTTAACTTCTTTAACTTCTCTCACTTCCATGTCCCCTTTCTCCCCTCTCCTCCACTTGCTCCTAATTTTTCAGGTAGAGTGTTTGATGTTGGATTTTAGAGATGAAAAGAAGAAGAAAGTGAGGGTTTTTGATGATTGGAAGGTGAAGAGGAAGTGACTGAAGCAAGGGGGAAGAGGGAGTGAAAGAGAGGAAGAGGTGAAGGAAGTTGAGTTTTTAGTAAAATATTTAACGTTGAGTCATGAAGAGGAAGAAAACGAGGTTGGATTTTTTTTTTCTTTTTATGATTAGAAGGTGAAGAGGGAGTGGGCCTAGCAAGGATGGAGAGGGAGTAGGAGGGAAGATTGATGATTAAGAGGAGACTGAGAAAATGGTGGAAAAGAAACAATAAGAATGAGGATATATATAGGAAAGGAGGAAGAAATATAAGAAGAGACGACGCAAGCTTAGAGATCTAGAGGAGAAGAGCATGAAGAAGATGGTGGAAGAAGGAGAGAAGAGATGTGTTTTTTACAATTTTAAAATTTGGAGGGGAATGAAGGGGTTATGTAAGGCCCTGATTTTTTCAAAAACTATTATTTATTAAAGAAAATAATTTGCATAATATTAATTTTTATATGCTAGATATGTTAAATCTCATAAAATAAAACTTTATTATATCATATTTCTTGTGTTAAACACATGTGTGAACTGAATATTAATGAGATTTACATATATAACACTAAGGGTTGTTTGCATAAGGATCAGTATTTACAAATAGGTCCATAGGCTATAAATACCCCTTTAAACTTAGGGTGTTATTTCTTTTGTTGATACCTATTCTGGAGCAAAAGTTCTATGATAGAGGATGACCAGAGGAAGAGGAGATACAGTAGGAGAAAGCGATCATTGGTTCATGTAAGTTATTCTCATTTTCTATTTCATTGTTTTCTTAATCCTTTCAGCTTTATCACTTTGATTCTGATGTAAACCCTTGAAATTCATCTAATTCTCTATGGAAAATTCAAGTGACGTTTTCCTATAATTTTGCATGTGTTTTAATCAGAACCAATAGATTTAATCCCTCACACTATTAATTAAATTGGAAAGCATGCATAAAATTTGCAACAACCTAGTTTTATCTTGTGTCATGTTTTAAACCTAGAGAATTGTGGTATTTTAGCCGTAAGATACATCCAAGGTGTGACGACCCTAGGTTCACACAAGGCTGGAATCCAAAGTAAAATCAAGAATGTCAAACCTGTCGTGCACCTACACTGTGCAATAACACATTTCACCAATCACAGTAATATCCTCTAGTGGAATCAAAAAGAAGTGTAGGTACAAAACAGGCAGAGTAAAGGAAATAAATACAATAGATATGATATAGAAAGACATCTCGTATATGAAATCATGTCTCAACTGAACAATCCGTAATATCTCTGAAATAAATACGAACGAACTCAATCATGAGTCAACTAGAAACAAAATTAAGGCACACTGCCTTTACAATATGTAAACGAAACTCTAATGTCTGAATGGAAATATAAAACTACAGTGGACCCTCTAATAGTAAAATCATGTGACGGCGACTATGCCAGAACTCCGCCATCCTGCGGCTCTCCGAAACTCTGAGCTGCCTGAAAAGTAATTTAAAACAATAATAATAATAATAAGAGCGTCAGAGCGCTAAAGCAAGATCACATCCATCTGCCCCTAGGGGAAGGGCTGCTACATGTAGTGGAGGCTCTATCTATTAAGTATAGTCTACCTAGATCATTGTCTCCATATCTAATAGTATTAATACTTAAAAATCTACAACACGAGACGTAGTACGTCGAGCGAAAAAGTCCAAACAAGAAAACCCTCATGTATATACAATATGTCTCAAACTGTAGATATCTAAATATTGACCCGAAGTATGGAAGAAACATCACTTGAAAATAAAATACCATAATGAACATCAGCATATAAGTCTCATGTACTCACAAGAGTAAGGTATCTCGGTCATATATATATTCAACAGTGTGACATAAACACTTTTGGCATCCACCAAAACTCAAGCTATCTAGTAATTGTCTCATTTGCAACTCTTTGCAAGATCCTGATCTCATTGCATTATTATGCACGACAAACTACCCTGTAGGTATCCTAAAACAATGTACACGGCTCATTAGTCTCATCGTAATCTCAGTACGTAACATGAGTGCGGGACGACCTACCTTATAGGTATCCTAAAAGATGGCTCACAAGCCTCATCGCACCCTCGTGCGGACGAACTCCTAGACAAAACATCCAAACTCGACTCAATGGCCTGTACAAATAGAATACCGACGCACTACCCCACGTAATACTGAACTGAGCTCATCAACGATATCCATCCCATGTACGAACTGTATAAATATGGCATATCGATGCACTACCTTATAAAGTACTGAGCTGGGCTCATTAACGATATCTGACATGTGTATACTATTCCGACTCAAGTGTAATCACTCAACACTTGTCAAATCCCCTTTTGAGATACTCATGTGTATACTACGATACTATTCATGTATATTCATGTCTATACATGTACTATCAAGCGACTCAAACCTCATGATCGTATCTCGAATTAAAA